AAGCTAACGAACACACCAAAGTTGGAACCATCGCAAGAGCATGTGAGAGCACCATGCGATCTGTCTTTACTCAAGTCCGATTCCATCTGTAAATGCTTTTTTATTCCTGCTCCTCTTTAACATACTTCTTAACCCAATGATTCCCGCCAATTAAGAGGTTGTCCTGCTTCCTAATTTTTGAGGGACTGCACGACCATAGCAGGAAGCCAGTACCCTGTAATAACAGCAATTTAATAAAGTTTGGCATTCATGAGTACTACGTTGGACTTCTCTCATACATTTGTCTCTGTGTGTGTTTATGTAAGACAGAAAGTAAAACTGGGATAGAAAAAAAACGTTTTTCCATCCAAAGTTGTGTATATCCAATATTTTTCACCTTTCACTGACTTGTGTGCAGATTGAATTACAATGTCCAAAAATATATCAATACACAGCTCAATGACAGTGCAGTTGCACGTACCGGATGCTGCATTGATCAAAGCTGTGACCCCCAAGGATCTCTGCAATGACTCGGTTTCACTGTCACTGATGAAACCAAGATAAATGGCTGTGTATTTATTCTACTTTCCAACGAAAAGAGATCAGATCCACCCCCTGGAGCAATTTTGATATTTGATTTACTTTATTAATCCCCGTGGGGAAATTGTTTCTCTGCATTTGACCCATCGGTTAGGATCAGTGTGCTGCCATTTTGAACGGTGCCCGGGGAGCAGTGTAGGGAACGGTGCCTTGCTCAGGGACACCTCGGTAGCACTTGGTCTTGCCGGGACTTGAACTGGTGACCTTCCAGTTGCCAAGCCAAGTCCACTTCGCCACCACCGCTCTCAATGCTTTAGCTTCCCTCCAGACTTCTCTGCATCTCCTGTCCTGTTCACCACTTACACACCGTGGACACACAGATGATAGATGTTTGCAAAAGATTTCCAGATCCTCTGGCCCTCGCCGCAGACTAATAATAGAAAGATGGAAAGATAAACTTACGGGAACAGAAAAGGGCAGAAGTTTATTCTTTGTGCGCTGTTGGTTTTTGCTGCATTACTTTATGGGTCAGCTGGAATGGCTCAGTGGGAACATTGATATGAGATAGTAGTTTGTTGTCCCTTTACTCGTATATCATAATCTATTTGGCAGTCCTATACATTTTGAGTACCCCAAAGTTTTATGTTAGAAAGGTATTGTAGGGGTTCCCTGCAACTAAAAGCTGCTGGATGCTAACTTGCATATTTTGGGGGCAATTTGCACAATTAGCATAAATTGTGTTAATTAGCTGTTAAAACTGCATTCGGATGCTTAAAATGTCAGAAATGTATTCAGCATCCTCAATAACAAACAAAATCACTACAGAATTGACCAAAACAGCCACGCCATTCTTTAACCATTGTCTGCTATAATGCTAACCAATGCTAATTATGCAAATTGCCCATCATATGCAAGTTAGCATCCGGCAGTTGAATGTGCTAGGGACCCATACTATACATTTACAACCATAAAAGTTTGGGGTACTCAACCTTTCCGGGTTTCAGTGCTGACAACAAGTAGACTATCATGTATTGCGCTCAAACAAAAGGTGTATTTGCAGTGAGAAAAATATGAATTTGTCTCTGAACAGTGCACTTCTGCCTAATTGAAAGAAACAAATCATTCAAGGAAAAGTTCATTGCAATATTTTGATGCTTTTAAATGTCTTGTTCAGCGTCCCACAAACCAATTGGTGGTGTCATGGTGACTTTGTCAACCTGCATTTTTCTTTTGGCCACTTGGAGGTGGTAGAAACAATCTGACCATAATTGTTAAGAAGATGAATTAGACAGTTGCTTATTTTCACATTCAGCAGATTCAGAATATCTCAGGATTTTTAAATTATGTTTCCAGACACCTGGTGGAAATCTAATTCTCACTCTTTTCTTGACTCTTTTTTGGTCTCCACCAGCTCCTGAAGGAACATATCTGTAGCTTTAGCTGCTCAACGTGCTGCATGTTAGCCGTTACCCCTTAGTGTTTACTTCCTGTCTGTCTTCTTCTGTGGATTTATCTGACATCCAGCGCTCAGTTTGTTTATCTCTTTCCTTCTCTTGCGCTGTTTTTTTTTTCTCTACAGTTAAACCATCATGACTCCAACGTTTGTTGCTCGCAACAAATATAAAAATGTAATTCAAAAAGTGTTCCATGGTGTTTTCTGATGGAGTTAACTATTGTTTGTTGTCCACAACTGACGTTAAATATACTGGACTTCTTTTTTTAGGAATAATAGGACTGCACATAGTCCCTTGATCATCCATAGCAGTGGTCTGTTCTCCTGAGCAGCGGTCTGTTAGTGAGAATTAACCTTCAAAATGTCCAAATTCACCAATCAGAATTGAGTATTCATGTTAAAACATGCTAAAACAATAAATTGTCGATACATTGTTATACCGGTTATAGGCAGTTTTAAAGCAACAGGTCACTACCAGGTCACAAAGGAGAGATGCTGTGAAAAAGAATTGATCTTTAAAGCAAAGAAGCCTCTTCACTGCAGTGCAGGAAGGACTGCTGTATTGCTTTACTATAAAGAGTTGCTTTATGGCATTAAACAGAAGGAAGTTCAGACACCAATTCAAGTTTTACTTCACTATTGCTTAATATCTTATAATAGCTTATAATATAGCTTTTTTGTAACTTCAACCAAATTCATGTAGACCCACATCTGGGTTGAAGAAGAGGACATATGGTAACATCCTCTTTGAGACAGGAAGTATAGGGTTTCAGCGAAATATGGTCGTGATTTTGAGAAATAAGAATTCAATACATACAGTTCAATCTTTGAAGAAATGCTCAAATCTCCCAGTGTGGTGAGATCACTTCTAAACCAACCAACCTCTCTCAAACCTTCAAACTAGATAACATATTTTAAGATATGTAAATAATGCTTTATATGATATTAAAAGAGACTGAAGTGGAAGTAAGGACAGCAAACAGACTGGCTGGGGGGAGGGTGGTGTTGTGGGTGAGTTGTTGTCAGAGGATCCGTAGAGGACTTGGTGGCACGGATGCACACACACACGGAAGCTCTTCCAGGACACACAGGACTTGGCCCCCGCAGGCGACGTGTCACGAGGAATCAAATTAGATGTTGCTGCGCAGAGCGGCCAGAACAAAGCCAGGGATTTTCTCAGGGAATCAAAAATAAAGTTGACTTAATCTCAAGGATAATTTGTCAATTCAACCAGAGTTAACATGTAAAGAAGCCCATGTGGCTAATTAAGCGGGTCATTCATTCGCTGCATTTTGTCTATTACACTTTCCTGGAAAGGTATCCTCGGCCTATAGGGGGGGGGGGGTCAATCTACTGTATCAGTGTGACACATGTCCAGTCTGCGTTTGAACTTGTGATTTACTGGTTCTTAGTAATCTCATGTATCGCACAGGCTCAAATGGCTTATGATTTGAACAACGACACACAAATTATATTAAATTAGAAATGTGATCTCGACAATAGCTTCCATGCTAAATGTGCCCATACTTGAATAGTTTTTAAGTACATATTACCGCCACTATACATTTATACAAATAAATATAGACCGTGATGAATTACTGTCTTGTTTGAGCCCTGATAAAAAGCCAGCTGCTGCTCTCCAGCTATGTGAGCCCTCTCCTGTCATGACTCAGTGCTGAGTGGGACATTAGGGGGTCTCTTCCTAGTATCCGGCTCAGTGTTAGATGGACGTGCATGCATTTCTACATTGGCTCTGGACTGAGTTTAGCCTCATGGGAACTGCTCATAGCAGCCGGCGTCCCGAGAGGTGGCAGGGGAGTTCAGCTGAGTTAATCCAGCAGACAGGGTGCCCTGTCAGTCAAGGCGCGGGGACTGACCTGAGAGGGGTTGTGTTTGTGGAAGGCTGGGGAGTGTAGTCAGCTGGGTGGTCCTCCCCCCCCCCCCCCCCCCCCCACACACCCCCCCCTCCCGTTTAAAAAAATATATATAGGCAAATGAGGATTCTGACTTCCGCATGTGCCAGGTTTGGTAATTTAGCCTGACGTGAGAGAGCCACCTGGTGGTCACATGGGCAGTTGCATCTCCGAGACAATCCAAAAAGTGAACAGAAATGTAACATTAATAGCAGAAACAAATGGGAAAGACATTACATTTTTTTCATCCATTATTGTTTTAATTGTTTTAATTAATTAGATTTGGTTTATTTATTTTGTTTTCAGCAAATACAACCTAAACACACAAATAACCAATATACTGTAAAGTAAACAATAAAAAGTCATTACTTTCAAGCAGTGTCAACCAAAGCAGTGAAAGTGAAAAGGAGATGGCTTAAGACGTATCTTATCACGCATACCATTACATTATTTGTACAATTCCAAATAATTGTGTACACTGGAAATGAAAGAAATAAACAAAATACAATTTTATTTTATTTCATTCAAAATAACAAAATGATTTACTCGCAAAAAGTTGCAAACAAAAAAAAACCTAAAAGAATCTGTGTTAATGATCTTATTTTTAAATATTGTTTTGAATCTATTAAGTCTCTTACAAATGGGTACACAAATCAACCTCTTTGTTCAAATGTTTGGTTTCCATTTCTATTTATTTTTGTAAACATGCAAAAGCCTCCTTATTCATACTAAATCACTCACATTTGAAAAAACTCCTGGCTTAAGTCTGAAAACATCTATTATTGTGCAGTTTTTATACATCCAACATATCTCTACCATTGATATGATGATTTAACTTTTCTAAATTTAGAAAAGATATGCTTTACCTTCAACCAGGCATTGTGCATATTACTTTTAATATATATTATATTTCAAAGTGAATATCTACCCTCAAATAACCATGAAACGGCAGCTAGTGATCATGTTCAAATCTTCCATTGTATATGTACCCTGATATCTGAAACGTTTATATAAAGTAAATGCAGTAAGTCCACCAACCAGCGCTGTGCTTTGGTAAAGGTACAGGACAGGTAAAGGTGAAGCGGGAGGGTTGGACATGTGAGTGTGTGGTCAGTGTGTGTGCAGATGTTCCTGCAGTGATGGCTCAGCAGGTGAAGGTAGCAGCAGCCGCAGAGCTCTACTCTGACATGGAGACTGTCAGCTCCACTGCAGGTGAGTCAAAAACTGTTTGATTTGTATTATCAGTCCATCATGTCATCCACCAATGATAGAATATCCTGTACAAAACAGCAAAACAGAGAGACCTGGAAACAATCTATCTTACTTGCCATTTTTTCAAAAACAGAAAAGGTACAGTGTAGATCAAAGTTAAAGTAAAAACTAGTAGACTTGCATAATAAAGAGGCGAGCACACGTTAATAAAAACAAATCTAATATGTACCCATCCATGGTAAATCGTACGAAGCAGCATTTTATAATAGTAATTTCACATGTAAAACTATTGAAGGAAATACATTGTCTCCCACAGTTTAAGTTTTTTAAGAGGACTTTAAATGTCATTAACATCAAAATTATTGTATTCATTGCTATGACATTGACTGCCATCAAAACGTATGTCAGAAATGTATTCTCTAAGGATAATCTTCATGAGATAACAATCGAGAAAACAGTGTGAGCATAAATCCCTTGAGATATCCTCCTGTTTTCCCCAAATTAAACAAATGGAAAAAATGAACAGTGCAAGATCTAGTGTTATATTACACAACAATGACACAACAAATAACCAGAAACAACCACGAAATAAGGAAAATTGTTAAATTTAACAATGTCCATCTTTACTTTGACTACCAGCGCAAAACATTGTCTCATAGCTGCTTTAAAATAAAAATGTTGCCATAAAAAACTGCACTGTACCTTAAATTGTATTAGTTACCAATTGAATGAGGACATGTACTTTAATAACAGTATCAAAATATTAGTGAAGTGATGTTCTATTTAACCCAATCTAACAGTTTGAGTAAGTAACCAGGTTTGGTAAAATAAGATACTCGAAATCTTTGTGGGAAAAATAAATCTATACAATTTGGTAAAGTCATGAATTAGCTTGTTCTGTCTCCTCCCTCACCGCCATGCTGTGAACAGACGAGGTCAGCTCAGTGCACCAATCTGTCCGATTAGTCACTTTGTGGTAATAATCTTCAGTCAAATCCCCCAGTTTCTGGTATCTTTTTCTCACGAGCTTCCCTTTGGCAGCTAAAGCTCCGTGGCTCTCAGGTTGCCTGGTGGCAGTGGGAACCATAAAGTCAGTGTAATCCCTCTTTTTTCAGACAGTCATTGGTGAAATGGGCCCTTACAAGTTCAGGCCACAGGAAACAGGAGCTGGAGAATTGTCTCCCGAAAAGTAAAAGTATTTTCTTCCTCCTGAGAACAGATATAGGAGAGTCGCTGAGGAAGGGCTCTTTGTGTGAGACCTCCATGGGGGTCGGCTTGGGCAGGCGGAGCCGGGCCTACCCCTCCCCGGCCCGGAGACGACACCGCACCACCTTCAGCCACAAGCAGCTGGAACATCTGGAGGTGGCCTTTGGACAAAACCAGTATCCTGACATCTACTACAGAGAGGAGCTGGCTCGTGTTACCAAGCTCAACGAGGCTCGCATACAGGTGGGACCAGCTGATAGGGAGAGGCTGGGGGCGGGTGCAACACTTTTTGCGTTTCTCTCTATTATTTTGAGACTATAGAGTGGTGCAGTAAACCCTAAAGTCCTAATACCCGGAAATTAGTTAGCATTCACCACGGCACTTCCAGATCCCTTCTCAAAGTTTGTGAACGTGTTATTGGTAAGAGGCCTAAATGAGTGCACACAAGCTTAAGCGATTTCCCCCTTTTGTTCTACGACAAAAAATACGTCAGTCGATGCACCACTCGGGAATGTCTGTTAACAAGTGACTAAATAAACTACCAGATGTCATCAAGCTAAACTTTAGCCACCTTTAGCTTAGCGGTGGTAACGTGAAGTAATGTGACTGTGATTAAATGTGCTTAAAGCCAAATCTTTATTTTATTTTTGTATTTCGTTTCATGCAACATTTTTACAATACATCTTTTAGGTATTGGTCAAATTTAAATATGTATTTTAAATGTATGAAGGATTTTGGTTATCAGAGAAACAAGCTACGCAGACGTAAGCCACGCCGAGCTGCTTTAAGAAATTACATTTTAATATGAACTTGCTTTACTCTGTGTTTTTACTGGCTTTAATTTACTGGTGAGTTTGCTTTGGAGAGGACACATCTGTGGAACTATTGGTGGTCTAGTAAACATTTTAATAACAATGTTTCTGTCTTTGTCTTTAACCTGTCCTGGTCTCTGTCTCAGCAGGTTTGGTTTCAGAACAGAAGAGCCAAGCAGAGGAAGCAGGAGCGAGCCTCCCACAAGGTTCTCCCTGTGGGTAGGATGTCGGGCCACAGGGCGCTGCTGGGGGGGATGCAGGTCCAGCCCCCCACCATGGCCCGGCAGTACTACACCCAGTCCCTGGCTCACATCCCCCGCCTCCCCCCTATGCTGCCCTCCGGGGCGTACCCCTGCCACCCGGGCCAATGTCCCTGCCCCATTGTCCCATCACAGCCAGCCCCCCCGCGGCAGCATGAGGACTGGTACAGCCCGCTGAGGGGCAACCTCCCCTCCCCCATGTTCACCCTGGCCTCCATGCAGCCTCTGGACCCCGCCTCACACTGGAGCTGAGAAGTAACATACCTATAAAGCCAAATATTACATTAAAATAACTTTTAGACAATTCAGTGATCGTCATAATTTAACGGGAAACTCATTTCATTTTCACATCATATCAAAAGTCGGAAGTTTCAAATAGCCTTAAATGTGTAGAATAGTATCAAAATCTGAACCTGAAGTGGTAAAATGCTAACTCATTTCTGGCTTTGGGACTCATTCCTGCACCATTCTATTTCTTTCACAATATGTTCAGCCATTACATGTTCATCCTTACCATGTTTTAAGTTATGTATAGCACATAATGTGAAACTTGATTTTTTAAAAACCCTTTTTAGTCAATCTGACAATAAAGGTAATTTTTCTCGAGTGCCTTTTAAACGTGATTTCATGAATGCAACGTGGTAGGAATTCCTTTACCATAATCTAATTTAAAAAAAACACATGTGAAATTCTTTAGATGATACTTTTTAATATCTCACATTTCAAAGACAACATGTCTTTTTTGATATATTGATTGATGAATCAATACTGGATGACACGATATAGAATTCATTTATCCAGCAAAAAAAGATGGATTCAATAAAGATCGACACACACACACAGACCTGACATGTTTGATCTGTTTCTGTTTTAAAAGGCAGCTAATGATTTTTACTGGAAATCTGTCCGATCTCTAAACAGCTGCATCAACCAGTGTGCTTTGAGTGGAGCTTATCCAGTGATGAAGGAGCAGCAGTATGGCGCTGCTGCTTTACATTCACTCTGTGAGACTTATGTCAAGTATCAGCTGGCTACAGTGAAGCAGATTGTGATTGGCTCATATATTTATTATGCTATTATACAGAAGTTATAAGAGGCAAGTGAAAGAAAAAAAACGAGTGATCCATTTATGTACTGATTGTTGCTGATGATTTGATTACTTTAACACAGATGAAACATACAGTTTGGCCGGGATAATATTTCTAAGATCCTTCATTGTATTATGACAGTTGGAAACAAAAGTTTTGCCAGCTGATTTTTTGTGCGTGTTTTTCATTATAATACTTATTTTGGCCACAAAGGGGCACCAAAACTCAATGTTTTAAAAGAGAAAAAAAATATTTATGTCTTTTTTACAAACCAAAGTGTGGTCATCAAAATCTTGATTCCACTTGATTCTAGAGAAAAAACAAAAACTTAGCTGACAAAAACGTTTTTCCATCCGCTTTCACACATTTTTTTAAAGTAACTCAAATTATCCTTGCCAGAGGTTTTTTTTCACCTTGCCAAGCCTTTTCCCCCAAACTGTTTCATAGAAGTAGAGGAAAATAAACGTCTGCAATATCATTTTATGCAGGCAAAAACTATTTCTTGGCTCCTTCATTTGCCTCTCAGGGCTTCCGTAATTCTCATGGAGCTATAGCCATAGAAAATAATTTATATTTGGTGCCCAGCGAGCAACCTCAAAAATAAACTAACCTCATCAGTTCTGCAAAGTTTACACACACACACACACACACACACACACACACACACACACACACACACACACACACACACACACACACACACACACACACACACACACACACACACACACACACACACACACACACACACACACACACACACACACACACACACACACACACCACACACACACACACACACACACACACACACACACACACACACACACACACACACACACACACACACACACACACACACACACACACACACACACACACACACACACACACACACACACACACACACACACAGCTGATCAAGTCAAGGCCACTTTCAAGCATCTCATCCTCATCACAAACAGCACATGTGATTCACAGAAGGAATCTTTGGTCCACCATGGTGAGCGTCACACAGCGAGGGTGTGTTTGCTCGTGTTATAAGTGTGTTGTACCCCTCAAAGAAGGACACGCACTATAGAGGTCCTGTATGTAAGAGGGCCAATTCACCCAAAATTACAACATCAATTCTCTCGTTTCCCTTTAGTAGCAATGCAAGAAGTTTTGGCTGTCATTTGCCACTGTGTTATTGATAGTTGTACTAGTACTAAATGAAAGTATTGGGCTTTAATTGTATCAGACTTTTTCAAGCAGTATCTCTAGAAAAAAAAATATCATAATAATACATTTTTATAATCAAATTAAAGTTATGTCATTTTTCAACCCATAAATGAGAGAAAATGCTGTTTCAGCCCTTAAATAATGGTTTCCCGCATTTAACTGTTTTGTATCATATTCAATGAGGGTATGTATCTGTGGTTAGAAACCCATCAGGGGTTAATAGAAAACTGCGTTTGTTAGTGATATTGGTTGAACCGACTCTTTAAAAAAAAGGCATGATTTCAAGGAATCTACAAAGAAATGTCCCTGTACGTGTTCACCAGTCAGTCTCGCATCACGCCATTTTGTTTTCCCCTTCTTTTTTGTTACTTAATAAATTAAATTAAACGCTTAACCAAATGAACTGAGACCATCTTGGACATCACTTGAAAAAAACATGTCCATATTTCCAAAACTCCAGGCTAACTGACTTATTACTCTGACTGATGGCCTGTGAGAGAGAAAGCAGAGGTTAAACGTTGGTGGCAGCTCCTCAGCTCTCTCCCCTCTCTGCAGATTCCTTGCCGTTGTTGTTGTTGTTTTTGTTGACATGAAGAATTTCAGATACCTCACTCCAGTGATTTGGCAAACTCTGCATAATCTATATACCCGTCATTGTTTTTGTCGTCGTCCTTAAGAACATCATCGATAAGGACGATGAGGTCCTCCTCTTTCATTGGCTGGCTGTGCTCCCCTCTCTCCTGAGAAAGATATAAGAAGATAAAATGCGGTTTATCACTGTATATGTGTAGCAACCACTCATTATTTACGAGATAGATTTGGTTATTTATATCCGCATGGAAAGTGATCTGGGTTTCTGTTTAGTGTTGCTTTTCTTTTGCAAGTTTTCTGAAATCTGAAAGTGAGTTGAATGGTATCTAAGAAGATCAGAAAAAGTTGCAGCCATCATTGTAGTTGACATTTTTCTAATATTGTAAACTTTCATAAAACATTTAGATTCTTAAAAGCAAATTAATTCCAGCTGCTATACCATCCGTGGTTGTTAAAGCAGAGGAAACAAGGTCACAGTTTACTTGATGGGAGTGGCACTTCTTTAAATAGATTACAATGAGGGAACCATTTAAAATGTGTTTTGCAGTTTGGAAAAGCTTTTCATTAATGATAAGCGTTTACTCTTACTAAAGTATATGATATATAAACGTATAAACACTAGGGATGTAACGATATACCGAATATCGCGGTAAATAAAAGTCCCAATACGGTCGTGAGACTGACAAAATCGACCGCGATTTTCTTTTTTTTATTAATTTAAAAAGAAAAAAAAAAAAAATGTAAACACTTTTTTTTGTTTTAAACCTTTATTTAACCAGGTGGTCCCATTGAGATCATCGATCTCTTTTTCAAGAGAGACCTGTCCAACATGGCAGCAAGTAGGTTACAACATGAACATAAAACGACAGAACACAAAAGGACATCGTATTTACAGGGCTACATTTACACACCTAGAGACATTGACAAGTACCAACAGTATATGTATATCTCGCCCTGTCAATAAGCCTCACCTTCTTGGAAAAACTGTATTGTTTTTGAAGTGGTGGAGAGACAATGCACAGTTTGACCCACTGCTGTCACCCATGGCCAAAGCATATCTCTCCGTCCCACTGAGGTGGCGTTAGACTTTTTCACTGTCCGTCATTTTTGACAGACAGGATCGTAAAATGTCCGTCATAATCCCTTATTACCCGTCGGGTCTGAACAGTTCACGGGGGGGGGGGCGGTGTTATGCCGTGTGTGCATGCACCTCGCGGGAGCGCACACAGCGTAAAGCAAAACCTCCCAGACATGTACGGCAAAGTACGGTTTGGAAACTATATCATTTCCTTTTGGAGGGCATGCATAACACGGCATAACACCAGAGCCTCGCTGCGGGGAAACGTTGGCGCTGTTCCGAGTTTGTTCTAATCTGTCAAAATGACAGACTGCTTTCAGATTTTTCCGTCATTGTTAAATAAAATATTCGGTTAACGCGACCACTGCTGTCCCAGCAACATCAGTACCAAGCGAGAGAGTTTTTTCCAGAGCAGGGGATATTGTAAATGCCCAAACATCCCAGCTTATAAATACCTGGAAATGTGGACATTCTCATATTCCTAAAAACCTGTCTGATGATGCTGAGTGAGTGACTAGTGAGTTTGAGTTGAGTTACTTGAAAAACTAAAGTGAAACTTGATTTATTTTATTGCAGGGTCTGATTATTAAATGTCCTTGTTTATTTGTGAGATGCAGTGGCACAAAGAAAATGCCTACTTTGTTTGGTAGTACTATAGGTACAAAACACTGGTTTTCTTATTCCAGTCTGTTACTGTCCTACTAAAATGCTGTACAAATCAGATTTATTATTTAATAAAGAAACATTTTCCGAGTAAAAAAAAAATGTATTGGAAAAAAAAAAAAGTGAATTTTTTTTTCTTTATTATTCAATATCGCGATAAATACCGTACCGTGGACTTGTTATCGCGATATTATTGTACCGTGAGTTTTTGGTATCGTTACATCCCTAATAAACACACATGTCCTCTTTAGTCCATCCTCTAGGCGAGACACCTGTCTTCTTTTAGACAAGTGTAAAGGAAACCTAAAAAATAGATATTTTAAAGTTGCATCTGTACATTTGTAGTAAGCAATAGATGGTACCTCCTTTGACTAATGAAATGTAACTTTTCAGAAAACATTTAATTAAAAAAAGATTGTCTTAATGTTAGTGATCAAGTAGGGAATACATGTTAACACTTTCATGCCCATATACTACATTAGTTAAACACTTATCCACCTGAAGCATGTCCCCTTAACATAAGAGACATTTCCACCACATCCAAAATAATACAAAAAAACATTTCATACGTATACCCACCTCTCTGTGCACATGTGAGATGGCTGTGGCCAGCTCCAGCCCGTCCAGCAGGTCGTTGCCGTCGTAATCGTGCATCTTGAAGTAGTGCAGCTGAAGCTCCTGTGGCGTCATGTCCGTCTCCGGTTTGTCTATCACTCCCTCTAAATGCTCCATGATGTGGCTGGGAGACAAGAAGAGGACAGTCAAATCAACACAGATTACATAGACAGTGGAGCCAAACGTGTCCAAAGTCCTCCATTCTGAGCAAACAAGTCCTGCATGGAGCTGTCAGAGAACATGTTGGAATGTGGACACAACACTCACTCTTTGTCCTGGACCATGTTTCTGTCCAGGTGACCGTGAGAGGTCACGTGCGCGGCACTCTCCACCACCTGCTGCTGATGCTGCTGCTCCACCTCCGAGTGGACACACAGTAGATAGGAGGACAGGAGGAGCAGCAGACCCCCCCACCGAGAACTACACCGCCTCATTCTGCTGGGCACAGAGACAAAGACAGCAAGTTAAAGTGGACCTATCATGCTATATTTGAAAAATATATTGTAGGGCCATACCTATATAAAACATGTCTGAGACGTTTTTTTTTCAAAATACCAAACAGATCACCCATTGTAGCCATGCCTCATACTGCTCAAACCCATCTTTTGCAGCCCTGTTAGAGAAACGTGGATCTTGGGTCCTTAGCTTGAAAAAATAAAGAAGAGGAGGCGGAGCTAATGCCTGATCAGAATTCTACCGGAGATAAAGTTCAATTCTGTTGTGATAAAACGCCATCCTGTTTAAACCATGTCAAGGATTATTTCTGAAACAGTATGGAGCTCAAAGGCTTTTTCTCTTGCAGGTTTATCACAAGGTGAGTTCATTTTTTGTGCTCTACACCAGTGATTCTCAAATGGGGGTACGCGGACCCCTAGGGGTAAGTCGGGGTACTGCAGGGGGTACGTGAGATACAAAAAAAAAAAGTGAATAAAAAAAATAGCATGCATGATTACGAAAATAATCTTAGTACAATAAGTTATATAGAAAACGCAATTGTATATAAAATATTCCTAGAACCACCAAGGGGGTACTCATATAAACATTCAAATGTGTGTATTGTATTTTATAGTTTTTCATAATGTATTATTTCGATTCACTTCAATTGAAAAACTCCTTGGAAAAATCTGTTTTAAAAAAATGTGTTTTTTTTCATGCATAAAGGGGGAAATATCCAGTTTGTTGTAATTCATACATGAAGGAGTTAATAAATCACACACTGATGGAACATCACTATATTGTAATGATTTGTATAGGCTTTTTCTATCAAAAATGTTGGGGGTCGGTCAGGGGGTACTTGGCTGAGAAGATGTTTCAAAGGGGGTACATTACTGAAAAAGGTTTGAGAAGCACTGCTCTACACAGTACAGGTTAGCTCTGAGTGTTAGCGAGGCTTGCTAATGTAAACAAAGACGAGATTACATCCAAAACACGTCAGGCATTGTTTCTGATAGCAACTTTCCGTCCATCCGACGTCACAGTGGATGGACACGTCACAGCGGATGGAAATCTGTATCCGCTCGTTGTACACCCGTTTGTAAAAGATTTGGGTACAGAGGAAAAGAGAGAGGGTTTTATTTTCTGACGCTGCGTGAGTTCCCCAACGCACCGGGGACACATGTATACAATACATCACAAAGTGCATTTTGCATGATAGGTCCCCTTTAAGACTACTGTGTTGTATAAATCGATGGTCCATAGTACATTATACACTCACTGGCCACTTTATTAGGTACACCTGTTCAACTGCTCGTTCATGCAAATATCTAATCAGCCAATCACATGGCGCAACTCAATGCATTTAGACATATAGACATGGTCAGGCCACCTGCTGAAGTTCAAACTGAGCATCATAATGGGGAAGAAAGGTGATTTAAGTGACTTTGAACGTGGCAAAGTTGGTGCCAGACGGGCGGGTGTGAGTATTTCACAAACTGCTGATCTACTGGGATTTTCACACACAAAAAAAGGGTTTACAGAGAATGGTATGAAAAAGAGAAAAAATCCAGAGGGCGGCAGATCTCTGGCCGAAAAAAGGGCTTGTTGATGCCAGAGGCCAGAGGAGAATGGCCCGACTGGTTCAAGAAGATAGAAAGGCAACAGTCACTCAAATAACCACTAGTTACAACCAAGGTCTTCAGAAGACCATCTCTGAACACACAACATGTGGAACCTTGAAGCAGATGAGCTACAGCAGCAGAAGACCACACCGGGTGCCACTCCTGTCAGCTAAGAACAGGAAACTGAGGCTACAATTTGCACGGGCTCACTATAATTGGACAATAGAAGATAGGAAAAATGTTGCCTGGTCTGAATGGCGACATCCGGACCGCAGGGTCTGGGCAGGGCTGCACGATTAATTGAAAAATATATTCAATGACAATGGTGGGATTTTGGGAGGTTCATATACCACAAGGTTACATAAAAGTTAACTGGAATATTAACATTTTTGGTATCATATTTGTCATTATCATTGAAAAATATGTTAAATTATTGTGGTGGGATTTTATTTGTTCGGATCTCTATGAAAGAAATACGTTTTTCTTACAACTTGTAAGTCAAAATATCTCTGCAGCTCCATATTAATTAATTACATTTTGTATTTAAAACATATTTAGCCTTTATCAAATGTTGTTGCTTCTTGCAATGTTATATTGCACTTGCCGTATTGCGATTTCGATCAAATGTTGGTAGAAACAAATGTTCACATTTGTTTCTACCTTTCAACAGTCTGCTTCCTTCACACCCTATTTCCCAATTAATTCATATCCATTTATGACAATCAGAATCTGGTTTACAGGTTTTCCCATTCCAGGAATGTACTGGTCTATTGATGTGTACATAATAGCATAGAAGACAAATATGATATCATGTAAATATGAATAAAATACAAATTAGTTAAATATAACTATGTAACGTTGTATAAGAAAATTATAATGAAAATAAAAAGGAGCAAGCAGTTTGTGCATGAATATGCAAAATTGTCCCAGGATTGTGCAAAGATCCACAGCATCAAGTATACAAAATAATGTGCAACGCACACATTTAATTCTTAACTATAATTTAAGAGAGCCTTCTTAAATGGATAATTGCGCCACAGTCCCAACAGAGGAGACAATATTTAGTTAAGTCGTGATTGTAAATCAAAATTGTGCAATTATGGAAACATTCAGCCATATGTTGTTAGGAGGCAAAGACAATAACCTTTTAAAACAATGGGATGAATATCGATATTTAATTGCTGTGAAATATAACATGGAGTTTCATACTGTATGTAGCACGAGGTTATATAACAACCGTTATCTTAAGTCAAAGTTAATAGAAATATTAACGTTAGCAGAAAGGATGGCTGTAATAACATTTGTTAGCATGAAGCTTCGTTCCACTGCGTTGAAATATCATTATCTGTTAAATGCACAAACCATACAATACGTACAGTGATGTAATTACTTAAAGGGTCATTGTAATACTTACACGGTAATGATTTGTATCTCCACTTGACTCGGTAGACAGTTATGTTGATTTAGTTGTTGCCTCTCAAAAATGATCTGTAAGAGCCTTTTCGGACTGAGTGGCTTGCCGTAGCTGCTCTTGGACACGACAGCTCATCGTGATTGGTTAAAGTAGTCAAAGAGTATACAGCCGGAGCAAGAAGACTCCCCATACTGTTAACCTCGCTAGACGCAACAGGAATACTACATTGCTATTTCAAGCTTCCTACGATTAAATTATTGTATTATATTTATTTTTAATTTATTTTATCATACCATGTAATTGTTCTGAGATCAAGTTTAAGGTTGTAGCAAGACAATAATACAGCCATAACACCTAGAAATACCTTCAAGTTGGATTACAATTGCTTCCTTCGTGTTTTACATGTTGGCAGTACACCGGGTGAAGTCTCTTTAGTACATTATGTATTGCTGACACGAACTAACCTTTTTATAATTTCCAAAAATATTGCCATTTTCGAGTTGTAATTTGTTAGAACTGTACAAATGTTATTTTACAGGGGACAATGTATTTTTACTATATGGTGTACTATCTTGACATAGGTGATGACTCTTTTATTACGTCAGCAGGCGGTGTGAAGTAGCCGCTCAGCTGTCATTTGTACACCACACACAGGAGCATGCTGTATGGTGGAGTTTACTGAGAAGAGAAGAAGAAGCGTCAAATATACAAACAAATGTCAAGTTTCCAGAGAGAAAATGACGCTGCTAAATCTCTGTTCAGGAGACTTGAGGTTTTTCTAAATGTCAAAGAGTAGCTGATCAGTTACACCCCTCAGTAGCCTAGTCAATCACCCCTGTTTACCCTTGTATTTACACCCTGTGCTGTGGATGATAGGATACATGGTAATAATTGTTGTTCCACTGCTTGTGAAGTCATGTGCATTTTTCATTTTATTTGTCCCTCAATCGTTTGCAGTTTCCCCCCATTAACATCCCTGGTATATAGTCCTCTCTGTATGTTTTGTAACCTGCATAATTAAGTCAGTGCATTTGCATGTTACTGTGCAATAGCTGACAGATTTATTATTTTGTAACTGAGCCAGGAGGTTAGCCAGCCCCAGCCTGCTAATGCTGCTGAACCCAGATCAGGGTGCAAGCCAATCAATTACAAATGGATTTTGAGTCCAACAAAATCATTTATGAAATGAACACTGTTAACATTTACATACATTTAAAAAACAGCTTCTTATATGCATGCATCCTGTCTGTTTTGGTTTCTATGGAACAGCTTTCTTTGCATTACTGCATCGTAAGCCCTACCTGATCCAGTTAAAGTGTTAACAGAGAGGATTAAGGACAGGTCCCTCTAGGGGAGGACACCATTCCTTTTATTTTCAACCACTACAGATAATGACCTCTCAAAAATAAGGGCTGCAATAACAATTATTTTTAATCATCAACTAATCTCCAGATTTTGTCCTCCATTAATCGATTGATCTCTATTAAATATCATATTATAGTTAAACAAAGTAAATGCAAGTTCTTACACGTGCAAGGTGATGTCACCACGTGTCTTGTTTTTCTGTACAAAACACTAATATGTTTACTTTAGTAGGCTACGATATAATAACAGGAAAGCAGTTCCTTCCTTTTGTTAAGTCTGGATATAGGATGTTATGCAATGTTATGCATGACAAATTACCTATTATCCTTTTATTAAAGCTATAATGGCTGTTTTTTTCTCTCATTTGGATCAACAACATAATAGTCGATTAATCGTTGCAGCTCGTATCATAGTGCCACTCTGATTTTAAGAAACGGACAGGAGTCAGTAGTCGAAATGAACTTTCAAATAACATCCTAACAATTAAACCCTCATTATGTGTACAATTAAAAAAAATGTCGGCAGCCTATTTACTTTTGTGCTTTTTGTTCTGTTATAATGAACTTTTGATAGTAACGTAACTCACACCCCCACTCCCCCCATCCGCACTCAAAGAGTACACGTTTATTTCTCCTGGCAGTCTGCAGTCACTCCCATCGTGTCCGGGGACTACAGTCACCACCGGGACAGAGCGGCGATGGCATCCCGGGTCTCCTTCACCCAGGTCCGGATGGAAGTGGAGGTGGAGCGCTATCGGGCCGAGTGTCAGTGGGACAAGATCCCGACGATGGTCGATCAGATGAAGGCTGCGCGGTTCCATGAGGACGGTGAGTGGGTCTGCGACACCCGGAGGGTTTAAAGTTGAGGTGTCGCTTCCCGGCTGTTTTAATAACTCACTGATCTGCACACTGCAAACAAATTGATCAACAAATTATTATAATTTTTTTAACCGATTATATGGTGTCTCCAAAATAAGTGCCCAAAGTTGCCTGTTTTTAGGCAAGTTTCAGGAAGTTGTTTCCAGTGACTGTCTCTTAGTAGTATGCAACACTTTGATACATATTTTTTAAATGAGTTCATTTAAATGAGTTGATCGACCTCAACCTGCAGATTTGTCCAATTGAAAATCATTGGTTTTTTTAAGTAAAGTATGATTTAAAATTCAGTCATAATCTTGAGTGTTTGTCCAGGATGTGTATGTTTTGCAGTGCCTGGGTTGCACTGTACACAAGTTGGACTTTGGACTTTCAACAAGGTAGAGGGCAGTGTTGGAAGAACTACTGAGATCCTTCACCAAAAGAAAAAACTACCATATTCTAAAAATACTCCATTACAAAGTGCTACCATCAAATTGTTACTTAGGTAATATATTATCAGCAAAATGTCTTAAAAAGTAAAGTAACTCATTATATAAAAGGCTCTTTTAAGTGTTACTTTATTCTGTTTCATCACTAATGAATTGATGTATTTTTTATAAAGTTATAGTTAATTTAATGTTGTAGTTCCTCAATATAAAGCCACTTGTATTTACTTATACTTCTGAAGAGGTATAGTGCTTTAACGTACAAGTGTATCATGTGTTTTGTACAGTACAGTCACCTTTGTGATGAATACTTGTAGTGGTGTGAAAAGTACAATATTTCTCATTGAAATGTAGTAAATAACAAGTATAAAGTGCCATATAATGGAATATTCTACCTATACAGGAGGCTACTTCTGTCAAATCAATCTATTCAAAATAAATAACCATTCCGCAACTGATAGTTGGAGGTTGTGGCTCAGTGGTTAGTGCGCTGATCTTCGGATCACAGGGGCAATGGTTCAAATCCCACTGCAGTCAACATCCCGCTGTGTCCTTGGACAAGACACTTCACCCCAAATTGTTCCTGTGGGGATGCCCACAGTATTGAATGTATGTAAGTCACTTTGGATAAAAGAGTCTAACAAGTGACATGTAATGTAATGTAATAGTTGGTTACTGTAGCTAAAGTTCACTTTGAACATTTATTTCACCAAAAGTAATAACAAGTTGCTGACATCTGTCCTACTTTGTGATTCCAGGGGTCAGACAGAAGTTGTTGAGAATAAAACGTCTCTACCTGGAAGTTTACAGTATACACAATCATAGAGAATGTGCATGATAGAAGGTATTGCATGACCCTCAGCATTATAAACCCCCCCTTACACAGGATAGACCTGGTACTAATGGCTGTATCCTGTACAAGATTTTCCACTATTCACTATCTTTACCCTTGAAATTATTCCACACTGTACATGTGGTCAAATAAATGCAAACACACTTATCATTGTGTGCCTCATAAAGCATTACTTTGCTAAGTCGCTAATGCACCTGCCTCCACCTCTCGTCTCAGCAGAGTAAATATGGGTTCAGGCAACTTGATGACAAGTCTGCTGTTATTGTGCCCATAGAAGTTTTTCCCTGCCTGAAGTGTTAAAATCAACGTGGTATTACTGTGTAAGTGCATGGTTCACATTTGCTGATCTGACAATGAGTGTGCATGGAAGTCATGGTGCATCCGGAGGGGTAGTTCTATTTCGTCCCTACTGACCGCCAGAGGCGGTGCTTTAGCACTGGATATGTCCATCGCGCGCATGCGCAGCTCGAGTACCAATAACAACAAAGTTAACTGTGACCCACGCAACACCGGCTATATCTGCCAGAGGATCTGTTCCTTTCATCTTCTCGCTGCGCGAGAGTACTGTGGCTACATTTTTGTAGCCTACAGCGTTCAGTTTGAACGTTTGATCTGAGGGATTTCTCTGCATGCAGCTGGCCGCGTGCAGCTTCGCGACTGATTCAGTCGGAGCCACGGGTCATTGACTCGTCTTCCAGGAGCTGTGGCCGGCTGGGCAGAGCCTCAATGGACAGGTTTGTGTCAACTTTGTTGGTGATGGATGTGTCCCCGCACCCTCTCCCAGCTAAGTTGTCCTGATTGCTGTCTTGTTTATTTTTTGGCTTGGACTTTCTGGTGACGACAGTGTTCCCGCTTCCTCTCCCATAAAGTTGCCCTTATTGTGTTCTTTTGTGCTTTCTGCTAGTGGCGTTGTGCCCGAGCACCATTAGCATTTTGAGTTTCCAGCTTTAGCTGCGTTTCTCGTTTTATTTAGTTAGTGGTAGCGTGGCTCAGCCTAACTATATCGTTGTTATTTACTGCTCCTAGTACTAGACTCCTAGCACTAGGATGGAACAATCTTCACTGTGTGTGCTGCATGTTCTGCATGTGTGGCCATTAAAGAGGGTTTCATCCCTCCCAATATTATATTATTGCTAGTGTGCAGCCGTTTGGCTGACACTTTTAAGCACTGGTCATGGTTACTACTGTAACTATGGTTCTATGCCGTGTAAGCACTGGCCATGGTTGCTACTGTAACTACGGTTATATGCCGTGTAAGTACTGGCCATGGTTACTACTGTAACTACGGTTCTATGCCTTGTAAGCACTGGCCAAGCACTGGCCATGGTTACTGTAACTACGGTTCTATGCCCTGTAAGCACTGGCCATGGTTACTACTGTAACTACGGTTCTATGCCGCTGTGTTCTCTTCTTTAGAAGCTAATGATCTGGTCTTAACCGTTCCCGGCGACTTGATAGAGCGATGGCTATGGGTTCACCCCCCAGGTAGAGGACTAGAAACAAGCTGTCCTCTAAGGTGAATCGGTTAGCTGCCGACATGGAGCAGATGAAGTTGCTCCTCTTGCCCCTTCAGCCAGGGGCCGGTGGGGGGGCTACTAGCTTGCCGTCTGGCCCTCCTTCGCTTGCTGCACCTCTGCTTGAAGATGCCATGTCGCTAGCGGCTTCGGCTAAACCTCTTCAATGAAGGGGTGGAGGACGGGGCCCCGCTCACTCCCGAGGAGTCTTCCCACTCCTCTGCTCAGAGCTCTCTGCAAGGCATGGAGGACGCCTCCATAGCGGCCATTATTCGTGTGGTCCTGGCACGCTTGCAGCTTCAGGTTCCACAGGCCGACTCGGCTCAGGCTAGCGCCGAGGGTAGGGCTGGGTCGCTTGCCATCCATTGAGCCTGCCATCGCCTCCACGATTCTGGCTCCTGATGAGGTTCCAAGGCCTGATGCTAGGTGCCCCGAGGCCTCAGTGCAGGGTCACAGACAAACTGCTCTGTGAGGCCTATGACACAGCAGCATACAGGGGTCGTAATGGGAACTCCCTCTCCCATCTGATGCTCGCTGTCTCTACCTCTCTGCAGCAGGCTCCGGCCGAGCCTTCTTTGCTGGGCCTTTGCCCTAATGTCTAGGGAATTGGGACGAGTTATGTCCTTATTGGTGCAGACTCGTCGCCAGGTTTGGCTTGCTCAGTCACCACTGTTGGAGACATGTCCTCCGTAGTGTGCCAGTCGAGGCACTGGAGCGTGCTGCCCAAGTTAGGCGGACCAGGCAGCAGCTCTCGGGTCTTCATAGGCCTGTGCCCACTCCCAGCAGGCCCAGGGGCCCCTCTAGCAGCCACACTCAGCCACCAGCTTACAGTGGTGGTCTGCGGAGGTCCCTGCGGCCCACTCAACCTCCTCCCGGTGGCTTTTGTGCCCCCGGTCGCCGGCCTTCTAGGCAGCCTCGTGCCTCAGAGCCTTACCGGCACCCCCCGAAGTCTCGGGGCCGGTCGTCAGCTGCTTTTCCCAGCAGCAGCTCAGTTACTGGGCTGTCTGTACTTCCGACCCTTGGGTGGTTTTCACCTTAACCCAGCGGTATGAACCGCAATTCCGGCCCCTAGCCTTCGGCCGGGTCAAAATGACAGTTGTCAGCGATCCGGCGAAGGCCTTAGCTCTAGCCCAAGAGTTGTCCGTCCTCTTGGCCAAGGGCGCAATCGAGCCAGTAGACCCTCTGCTCAGCCCGGGGGGTTCTGCTCAGCCCGGGGGGGTTCTACTCAGCGTACTTTTTCATGAGCAAGAAAGTCGGCGGATTTTCTCTGATCTTGGACCTCAGAGGAATCAACAGATTCCTGAAGGTGCTGCCATTCCATATGCTGACCACAGCACATGCACAGGGGGAGTGGTGACACTATCGGTTCCGGGTGCTTCCCTTTGATCTCTCCCTCTCTCCAAGGGTCATGGAGGCAGCTCTCGCACCCCTTTTATCTCACGTAGCCCGGTTGGGTCTAACAGTAACACCGGGAAGAGTTGCCTGGACCCTTCCCAACAAGTCACTTACCTGAGGATGGTCCTAGATTCGGCCGCCATGAAGGGCCTACCTGTCACCTCGTCGTGTGGACGACATTTTCCACCTTCTTCTCATCTTCAGGCTGGGCAAGATAGTGCCTTACATTCAGTTCCTCCGGCTCTTGGGTGGATTGACGGCTGCTTCATTTTTCTTTTAACAATGACGGAAAAATCTGAAAGCAGTCCGCAGTCCGTCCCCCCCCTCACACCACTGTTGACAGTTCACGACCGTGCTCCCCCCCCCCCCCCCCCCCCCCCCCCCCCCCAGAGTGTAAAGGCCAACGGGTAATACTGAATTTTGACGGAAATGTTACGATCCTGTCCGTCAAAATGACGGGCAGCGAAAAAATCTAGCGCAACCTCTGCTCAGCGGTGCCTCCACTCTCTGTCCCGCTGGAGGGACAGGGGCCTATCTTTTGATGGGCGTGCCATCCCATCCCGCCGGGAGACTGTCACTGCAGATGCACGTCATAACAACATCAACACACACACGGACACGGTCATCTGCTACATTGGGAAATGCATCGATGACGTGGTACCGAAGGTTACTGTACGAACATTCCCAAATCAAAAGCCCTGGATAAACGGCGAGGTGCGCGGCAAGCTGAAAGCGCGCACTATCGCGCACAGAGCTGGAGAT